ATTAATTGCTCATGGGTGGGCCAAGCCAATATAATAAAAAATATTACTTCTACGTAAGTTAATCCATTTATTAAGTGCCATACCAATCAAACTATCAACATATTTCATAGAGGTAGAAAACATAATAATAAAATTTATCTGGAAGAACAAAACAATCTATGAAAAAAATTGAAAGAATGTGGTCTAGACATACTAGATCTCAAACTGCATTATAAAGTGGTAATTCTCAAAGCAACCTGGTACTGGCTAAGAAATACACTGGTGTATTATTGGGATAAGTTAAGTATAAATTACATTATAGTAAATTACCATAGTAATCTAATATATGAGAAACCCAAAGATCTAAGCTTTTGACAAAAACTGTTGGGAAAACTGGAAAACAATATGACAGAAAGTAGGTATAGAACAAGATCTCACACCTTATGCCAAAATAAGATTAAAATAGGTACATGATTTACACATAAATGTTCTGGAGAACAATTTGGAACTAAGGTTAAAAAAACAAAACTGTGTGCCCTTTGATCCAAAAATACCACTACTAGGTCTATATTGCAAAGCCATCTCCCAAAAAAGGGAAAAGGACCTGTTTGTACAAAAATAACTATAGTAAGTTTTTTTGTGGTGGTCAAGAATTGGAAATCAAATGCCTATCAATTGCACAATGGCTAAACAAATTATGGTACGTGATTGTAATAGAATATTATTGTTCTGTAAGAAATGACAAGCAAGCTGATTTCAGAAAAACCTGGAAAGACTTACATGAACTGATGCATAGTGAAGTGAACAGAACCAGGAGACTGTTGTACATCATAATGACAATATGGCTTGGTGAAGAATTGTTAATAACTTACCTATTCTCGGCAATACAATGATCCAAGACAATCCCAAAGGACTAATCAGAGAAAGAACAGTTATTGATTGAATACATTCTGAAACATGCTATTTTTCATTTTCTTTCTTTCATTTTTTCTTTTGAGTCTTCTTTTACAAAATGACTAATATGGACATGTTTTACATAATTGCTCATATATATCCTATATCTGATTGCTTACCATATTAAGAAGGGGGGAGGGATAGAATTTAGGACTTGTTTTCTTCAGTGTACTCTTTTCCAGTTGACCAATTGTATTATTTAGGGACTTGTTTTCTTCAGTGTATTTTTTTTTCCAGTTGACCAATTGCACTTTTTTTTTTTTAGGCAATTGGGGTTAAGTGACTTGCCCAGGGTCACACAGCTAGTAAGTATCAAGTGTTTGGTCTGAGGCCAGATCTGAACTCAGGTACTCCTGACTTCAGGGCTGGTGCTCTGTCCTCTGCACCACTTAGCTGCCCCTGACCAATTGCATTTTTTAGGGACTCTTTTACCTCTCTCATTTGACTTTTAAAATCCTTCTTGAGCTCTTCGAAGAAGGCTTTTTGGACTTAAGACCAGTTCATATTCTCTTTTGAGGTTCCAGATGTGGGTTTGTTGACAATGTTGTCCTCTTCAGAATTTCTGCCTTGTTCTTCACTGTTCTCATAATACGAATCTATTGTATGTTTCTTTTTGCTCATGGTGTTTGATTTTTCCCTGGCCTTTAAAGAGATTGACCTCTCCTGCTGGGGAGCAGAGGGCATTGACCCAAGCTTCTTGTGTTGGGATCCTAGGTCTTGGTCACTGGCTTTGTGTGCTGGGACCTCCTACGTTGGCAATTGGAGACTGTAGGGTTCTGGCAGCTTGTCTGGTGCTGGGCTGGAATCAGCAAGGCTAGAACTCTAGGGCAACTCTGGGTTGCCTGCTTTTCCTTTCCTTTCACTTTCTTCAGCTCCTTTCAGATGGATGTTGTAGGGTGTTTATCCACCTGGGGCCCTTGTAGTGCTGCTTCTCTTATTTTTGCTGAGGAACTGGGAGACCTGGTAACTGTAGAATGCTGAGGCACATGGTGATTTTCTGAGCTGGTTTCCACTGGTTACCCCACCCTCATTTAGGCACTCAGAGGTCCAGGTGTTGGTGTTTGCCTGCTCCACCACCTGGGTATCAGGATCTCCTCCTAGTGTGCTAAAATGGGGCTTTCCACTAGCTTGCTGGGATACCTCCCATTCCGTACTGCTCTCCTTCCCCCAGGGGAAGAAGGGCCTTTCTCGTTAATCCCTCAAGGTTACTGGGCTACTAGATTGGTGCTCCCCATCTTTCTTCTGGTTCAGCTGTTCCAGGGTTTTTCCTGGGGTGATATTTTCTGGGCTTCCAGAGGTTGATAGGGAAGGGTGTGAGCGACTACTTTTTTACTCCACCATCTTGGCTCCTGGAAGCGACTGCTAGGGATAGAATTTGGAACTCAAAATTTTAAATACAAATGTTAAAAATTTTTTGAAAAAGAAACTAATCTAAGGGGAAAAAAACTTCATTCATTTCTGTGCTTTTAGTGGTTTATTTTTTAAATAAGAAGGGGTGCTATATTTTGTCAAAAGCCTTTTCTGTATCTATTGATATAATCAAATTTTTTTTTGTTGTTGTTGTTATTGACATAGTTAATTATCTTAATGGTTTTTCTCATATTAACCAGTTCTGCACTCCTGGCATAAATTGAGTTTGGTATTTGCATATGATCTTTGTAATAAATTGTTATAATCCCTTTGCTAGTGTTTTATTAAGATTTTTGCATCAATATTCATTAGAGAGATTGGTCTATAGTTTTCTTTTCCTGCTCTCCATGGTTTAAGTATCATAACCATATTTGTATCATAGAAAGAATTTGTAGGGCTCATTCTTTACCTGAATTTTTCAAATAATTTATATTGTATTGGTTTTAATTGTTTTTTAAATATTTGGTAGAAATTGCTTGTAAATCAAGCTGGTCCTGGGTCTCCCCCCCCACCCCCTTAGGGATATGACTTATGGCTTGTTCATTTTCTTTTTTCAAGATAGATTTATTTTAAATATCCTATTTCCTGTTGTGTTAATCTGGGCAATTTATATTTTTGTAAATATCAGTTTTGTTTAGATTGCCAGTTTTATTGGAATATAATTGGGCAAAATAACTCCTAATATTCACTTCAATTTCATCTTTATTAGTTGTGCATTCACCTTTCACATTTTTGGTACTGGTAATTTAGTCTTCTTTCTTTTTATAAAATCAAATTAGCAATGGTTTGTCTATTTTATTGTTTTTCCTCCATAAAAAAAAGCTTTATTAGTTCATTTTTTATACTTTCAATTTAATTAATTTCTCCTTTGATTTTTAAGGATTTTTATTTTGGTATTTAATTGAGCTTTGAAATTTGTTATTTTTTGAGTTATTTTAAAGTTGCTTGAATTAATTTCTTGATCTATTCTTTTTCTCTTTTGTTAACGTAAGTGTTTACAGATATAAAATTTTCCCTAAATACTATTTTGGCTACATTCCACAGTTTTGGTATGTTGTTTCATTGTCCTCATTATCTCTGATGAATTTATTGATCGCTTTATGATTTGTTCTTTGATCCAGTCATTATTTAGCATTAGACTATTTAGTTTCTAATTAATTTTTAATCTATGCTTCAAAAGCAAATTGTTAACTATTGCATCATGATTTGAAAAGGTTGCATTTAGTATTTCTGCTTTTCTATATTTGTTTGTGAGGTTTTTATCCTCTAATACATGGTCATTTTTTTGTGAAGGTGCCATATCCAGCTGAGAAATTGGTATTGTCCCTTTCATTCCCATTCAATATTCTCCAAAGGTACACCATATTTAACTTTTCTAAAATTCTATTCATCTCTTTAACTTCTTTTCTTTCTTTCTTTCTTTCTTTCTTTCTTTCTTTTTTTCTTTCTTTCTTTCTTTCTTTCTATTTTATGGTTAGATTTATCTACATCTGAGAAGAGTAAATTGAGGCCCTCCAGTATTATGGTTTTATTGTCAATTTTCCTCCAGTAACTCATTTAACTTTTCCTTAAAGAATTTGGTTGCTGTGTCATTGGTCCATATATGTACAGTATTAACATTAATTCATTTTCTGTAGTACCTTTTAGCAAAACGTAGTTTTCCTGATGTCTATTTTTGCTTTTTCTTTGTCTGGAATCATAATTGCTACCCCAACCTTTTTTTTTTTTTTTGCTTTTTTACTTCAGGTGAAGAATGGTAGATTCTGCCCTAGCTCCTTAATTTAACTCTGAGTGGCATTTTTTTTTCTTTTTAAGGTATGTCTCTTGTAAATTGTGTAAGTTGTGACTTTTAAGTGTCTTTCCTGCCTACAATATGGTTTGACTTTTTTTTTCAGGTTGTTTTGGAAGGGGTATGCTGGGAGAGAGTGGCAAAATACTGCTTTCACTCTACCATCTTGACTCCACTTCTCCCCCCTTCACAATCTCAAAAATTGAGGATTCCTTCCCCTCAAACAGCTTTAGTTTATATGCTTTATATCTATCAGTGATTAACTTATTAGAAATTTAAACGTTTCAGTATTATTATGAAAATAGTTTTGACTTTAGAGACCCCCCGAAAGGCTCTCAGGGACACCAGGAGCCCCCAGACCACACTTTGATAACCCTTATAAGTTATCTACTCTCCATTTGTGTCGGATAAGCTAGTTTAGGGATGGAGCTTTGATTGAATAACACAGAGCACCAGCCAATTGTAGCCAGAAGCATAGTTCTATGCATATATCTAACACAGAGAAGGGTCAGGTGCATAAGCAAAACTAGTTACATTCAGCCCTAACTCAGTACATGTCTATGGCATGCAGTCATTTGTTCCTTTGCTCAGAATTCTTCAGTGGCTCCTTTTTGCCTACTGAATACAATTTTTATATCTTATTTGGGTTCAAGGCCCTCCAAAAAATTGACACCACAGTAATTTTTTCTCTAAAATTTTTTATCAATATTTTCATCACATTCATTTCTTAATATATCCCTCCCTTTTAGAATGTAAACTCCTTGAGAATAGGGTCCATTTTTTCTTTTCTTTTTAATCCTCAGTACTAGCATAGTGCCTGGCACATAGTAAGCACTTAATACATTCTCTCTCTTTGTGAGTGTGTATGTGTGTGTGTCTATCTATCTTTCTTTCTAGCTCATCCTCTACCCATGTAGCCAACCCTTGTAACAAAGAGTTTTTTAAAAAGGGCTGTGTGGTGTGTGTGTGTGTGTGTATGTGTGCACGTGCGTGTGCATGTATGCACATGCCTGGGAGGAGGCAAATGAAGCAATTTGGCAAAACCAACCAATACATCCACAAAATGTAATAGTATAGGGGGTTCATTTTCTCAACTTTTCTCTAAAATCATTGATCTTTATCCTTAGATAATGGTTCAGTTTATTGTTGTTGGTTTTGTTGTTTTTTCATTAAAGTGTAAGCTGTTCCTCCATTAGATCATAAGTGCTTTGAGGACAAGACCTGTCTTTTGTCTCTTATTGTATTCCAAGTGTTTAGCACAGTGCCTGGCATCAAGCAGTGCTTGATAATGATTGACTAATTCTTTCCATTTACCATTCTTTGTTGCAGTCATTGGCCATGTTGCCTTTCCAGTCTTGCCCACTTTCTTCCCTTCCACACGCTCAGTAAAACTTGATAATGTTGTGTCAGACAACCCCTCCCCCCTTTAAAATCTTCAGCCTCTGTGTCTTTGTTAACAGTGTTTCCTATACCTAAAATAACCTCCTTCTCTCTTTTCATACTTAATTCCTCCACATCTTTTAAAGTCCTGTTCAAATGTCCCTGCTCTTCCAGGAAGCTGTCTTGAAACACTCCCGTCAATAAAGTCCTTCCTTTCTTTTTACTGCATGTCAGACTTTATTTTGACCATGCAGATATCTTTAAAGGTCACATATTAGGCCTGGGTTTTCTGTGTTTGTATATGGGGGGTGGGGAGCAAGGTCAGGGATCTATGATTTCATTTTTTATAGGGAATTTGGATTATTCAACTTATGGTCTTAGAGATTTGCCAAGAGGTCAAGAGGTTTACCAGGATCACACATTTAGTATGTTTCAGAGATGGGACTTGAACCTGAGTCTTCTTGACCGTGGCTAACACTCTATCCAATGCACCATCCTGCCTCTGTTTATTGCTTATCCGCTTTTGAAATTCTTCAGCTGTGTTTTAGATAACTTTGTGCCTGTAAACTAATCTTGATGTCTTGGTGTCTAGTATGGAGCTTTGTACATAGTAGGAACTTAAATGTTTATTGAAGAAATGAATATATCACAAGCTCTCTTGGACAGAAAATGGGTCCTCCATTGTAAGGTGGCAAGATCCATTGTGGGTAAGAGAGTCAATTCTCAGGTGCCAGATTTTAGAAATGGTGTTAAGGGTCATGTAACCTTCCTTTCCCAATAGCTCTTTCCATCTATAATGGGAGAAAATGGCAGATGAGGCACTGAATTCTGTCAAGGGGGTCAACTAGTCTGGATGTGGGGATAGAAGCAGCATACTTTGGAACAGGTTAACTCTTTCAGTCCCAGGGCAATAAAAGAGAAAGTCACTTAATGGTATCCTGAGACCTTCATCCAAATAACACCTCACCCACAGTGGCAGAAATTCCAAATGTAGTTGTCATGGAGGGGCTCAGCATTAACACATTCTTGGAAATCCTCTAATGAAAAATAACCTGAGAGAAGAAATATTCTTAGAGCTCTGAGAGAATTGTTATCCCATATAAGAGTTCTGGGGCTTTTGCATTCTCTGATAGAGCGTTATTCTGGGCACCACTATGTACTGAAAGAGAACTCTTGATTTGTAGTGTTAAGACTTGAGACCATAGATTTAGTGCTGAAAGAGACTTTAAAGTTCATCTACTCCAACACTCTCATTTTAGAGTTGGGGAAACTGGGGCCCTCAAAGATGAAATGACTTGCTCAGGAATTCAAACCTAGTCTCTTTGCTCCAAATTCAGCCCTCTTTCCACTATGCCTTGCTGTTTTAAAGAATCCATGACTCTGCTATTATGTGATCTTGGAAAAATAATATAACTTTTCTGTAACTCAGTTTTTTCAAATGTAAGATGAATAGGTTAATTTAAATGGTCTCTGGGTCCCCTTCCAACTCTAAATCCTGTAATTTCAGTATGGAAAGACTAAATTACAAAAACAGACAAACAAATAAATGCATTAATGAATGACTGAATGAATAAAGACATAGACTTAAATCCAAAAGGGATGGTAGAGATCATCTAGTCTAATTCTTACATTTTACAAAAGAGAAAAATGATGGCAAAGAGGTTCTCTGATTTTCCCAAGGTCACAAGGTAGTAAGAGTCAAGATTTGAACCCAGATCCCGTGATTCTGGATCTAGCACTCTCTCCATTAAACCTCACTTCCCAACTTCATAAGTCGATTTGAGTTGTCCTTGGCTGCCTTGTATTTTGATTCTCCCCTCTCCATATATAAATTGAGAAATCATAATAATAATAGTCATATTAATGACAATAATGAAAAGAATTTATTTTTCTAAACTGTCTTACATTAAAAAAAACTGGTTTCTTAACATCAATACTGTGAAATAGTGCAATTTTCCCTATTTCATAAATGAGGAAACTGAGGATCTGAGAGGGGAAGTGACCTTCTCAGGGTCACATGCTCAGTTGGTGCTGGCTCACGTTTCCCAGAGTTCATTACACAGTGCCAGACAAGTAGAAAGCAACTATTACATATAGAAATGCCCCCTACAAGGACAAAGCAGGAAAACCAAGTCCCCTTTTATTTTTTCCTATGAAATCTTAGCAGAGCCCATTTGGAGGAAACTCAGGGGTCTTCAAAGGAGATACAGTTCTGAATCAGATGCTCATTAGTATAATGGGACAAGTCTTAGAAAAATACCAGATTCCATCTCCTTACAATAATGGGCCCTGCCTTTTTCCACCCCCTCCACACTCCCTCCTCACCCTCAACAAAATTCCTTGTCCTCAGCTGGAACAAAAATGTAGCTTAGCATTTGGGTGTGTCTTCTAGTATCTTGTGATCTTGTATTGTATTCAGTCACAGCTACAAAAAAAAAAGTCATTTGAAATATTTAAAAGTTATAAAATCAGAAACAAACAGCTTGTCCACAGCTAGTGAGCCCTTCCTTGCCTTTCCCCTTGCAAGGCTTTCTAAGACTGAGCACTGTTGTGCACTCATTTGGACCCGCTGTAAGTTACAGAGGTGCAGTAAGTAGCAATATAAACCCAGAAACTGAGAGCAAACATGTGTTAGCAAAAGGGGGATGGGAGGGGAGAAGGGTCGTCAGCTCCCTGCGTTATTTCATGCCATCATGAAATGCTAATTGGTTTGCATGTCAAGAACTATCGGGTGAGATGTAAAACAAAACAGAAGTCATTTCTCTAAGGCTTTTAAAGTTAAAAGCTTGGATAAGCTTGAATAGTTGGAACCAATAACGTGCTTTCCTATTCTCTTTGATTCTGTATTCTGGGATGTCCATTATGAAACCATCAATATACCGTGAAGGTCACAGGCAAGGTGAATTGCTCTGGGACACAGGAAAGCTTAGCTCCTCTTTTCCCTCTCTGATATCACTACTCATAAAAGATTCTGGTCCCATTCAGAAACATCACCTCAGGCATTGAATCCTAGGCAGAAAAATAATTCCTCCAGCTGGTTCTTGGGCATACCTTTGTGTGGTCAGGATTTTGGATTGCCACAGGCTGCCTGATTTTGTCCTCCTGGATTTGTCTGGGGGTTTCCATCTGGAAGATGGCTAAAATGAACATGAACTCTACAGTCAGTTATATCCACCGACATTGACAAGCAGGGGCATACTCAAACAGAGAATGGGAGGGAGAATGAAACCATGTCAGAGACTGCATCATGATATGGGACAGAGGGAAAAACTGAGGGGATTTGGAGTCAGAAGACCTGAGTTGGGCTCTGTCAGTTATTACCTACATGACCCTGAGAATTCAATTACATTCAATTCAACAAATATTAAGCACCTACTCTGTGCAAAGCACTGTGTTCTGCCCTGGGGATTCAAAGATAGAAGCAAAATAGTCCCTACCCTCAGGAAGCTTACATTCTATTGGTTGCTGTTGGAGTGGAAGTAGGATGGATTCTACATGCACACAAATAAGTAAAGTGCAAGGAACATTGAGTTGGGAGGGTAAGTGGCACAGAAGGTAGAGTGCCATGCCTGAAGTTAGGAAGATCTGAGTTCAAATTTGACCTCAGACACTTACTAGCTGTGCGATCCTGGGCAAGTCACTTAACCCTGTCTGCCTCAGTTTCCTCATCTATAAAATGAGATGGAGAAAGATATGGCAAACCACTCCAGTATCTTTGCCAAGAAAATCTCAAATGGGTCACACACAGTCAAACACAATTGAAAAGACTCAACAGCAACATCAAGGGAAACTGAGGGAGGAGAGAGGACTAACAAATAAGGGGAGGGAGTAGGTTTCACTGAGAAGTTGAGCCCTGAGTTGATCCTTGGAGGCATAACTTGAATCTCAAACTCTATTGCATGAGATTCTCTCCTTCTTAGTGGAGAGTGATTACTAAATGCCCCTGTATAAGGTTAAAGATGGAGAGAACAGAGATCCTGGACTTCTGACTTCCAGTTTCAAGAGAGAAGCTGCACCATTCCAGACACTTTTTTGATAATTCTTTTTTTTATTTTATTTTGTTAGGCAAGGGGGTTAAGTGACTTGGCCAAGGTCACACAGCTAGTAAGTATCAAGTGTTTGGTCTGAAGCCGTATTTGAACTCAGGTCCTCCTGACTCCAGAGCCGGTGCTCTATCCACTGTGCCACCTAGCTGCCCCTCCAGACACTTTTAAGGACAGAAATGTTTGAATTTTATCCTATAGAGAACAGCATATTCTTCCCAATACCACCACTTAATACTACCACACTACCATCTAGACTGTGAATATTGTCCCAGTATCAGAAGAAGAAGATTATTCTCACACTAGTAACAGCATAAAACGTTCTAATTGAGTGATAGAGCTGGAAGCCAGATTATAAGATTATTTATATATTATAAGAAGCCAGATTATGAAAAATAAGTGGGAGGTGAGGAAGTGGAGGCAATAACTACAGACTTCCTCCCCTTAGGAGTTTGACTGGCATAGGGAGGAGCAATATGGGAAGAGAACTTGAGGAACTATGGAGTCAAGTGAAAGTTTCTTAAGGACAGGGGATATGCTTGTAGACAGCAGGCAAGGAGCCATTTATAATCTGTTGGATCTTAGCCAAGTCATCTGCCCATCCTAAGATTCTTCCTTTGTTCAGCCCTTCATGGCATCTCACCTGAACTGTTTTAACAGCCATCTCTTCTTCAGTGTACATCCTTGACATCCCCTCTTTCCCGTCACTGTTTCAATCATCTTTCTTTTTCTTTCTAATTAATTTTTCTGGTATGTCCCCTATTTACTCAAAAACCTTCAGCAACTCTCCATTGCCTACCAAATAAAGTACGGATACCTGATTCTGACATTTAAACCTTTCCACAAGTTGGCTCCAAACTATGGAAAGGCAGAATAATAGAGAATCCTGGTTTGAATTCCAGCCCTGCTACTTCTTATCTATTTGATCGTAGGCAAATCACACCCTCTCCAAACTTCATTTTTCTCATATGTAAAATAAGACTAACGTCTCTTCTAGCTCTAAATCTATGAATTATGACCATCACAGCTTTTTCTCATGCCATCATCCTTCCCATATTCTACGTACCCACAAACATGGCCATATGCCATGATTTCTACTTACTGGCCTTTGCTCACAACATTCTCCACACTTGGTGTGCATCCAAACCCCAGCTCTATCAGTTGCAAACCCATCCTACTTTGAAGGCCTTGCTTAGGATCCACTTCTCTTAGAAGCCTTTCTTCCCATCCTTGACTTGTATAGAAGTTTTCTCTCAAAATTTTCAAAGCTCTTTGCTTGGACTTCTCCTTTACTCTCTCAAACACCCTTGCAAGGTTGCAGGACCACAGATTTAGACCTGGAATGGACCTTAGAGGCTATCACATCCATTTGCCACATTTAACAGATAATGAAACTGAGGTTAGGAGGTTAATGTAATGGATACAGCACTAGACTTCAAGTCAGTCACTTCAATTCTCAGCTTCAGTTCCCCCATCTGTAAAATGAGGATGATAATATCCCTCACAGAGATGGCCCTTCTCAGGGCTACTATGAGGATCAAATTATGGGTAAAATGCTTTGCAAACCTTAAAGCACTGGATAAATCTTGGTGAATATTATGACTTGCCCAAGGTTTTACAGATGAAAACTGGGAAAGTTGGGATCTGAACCCAGGACTCCTGACTCCAAATATAGCACTTTTTCTACTGAACCAATTTTGTGTGTATTTGTCCTGTCCTCTGCCCTGCTCCAGTAGATTGTAAGTTGCTAGAGACTTAAGAGTAAGTTTTGTATTATATTTGTCTTTGAATCCCCAGAACTCAGGATAAAGTACTGCGCATAGCAGAGATTTCCTGTTTAGTGAGTGGAAGAATGAATGAATTTGTAAAATGGCAATAAATATTGAATACTTCTCCCATAGGGTTGTAGAGAGGAAAATATCTTGTAGGTCTTAAATATGGGTTATTATGTGCTCACGAACTAGCATAGAATTGGAGCTATGAATCCTTAGATATCATCTTGTCCCACCCTCATACCTTACAGAAAAGACAATCACAGCCCAGGACCTCACCAAGGTTACAGAGCCAGGATGTAGAACAGCTGGGGTTCTGTCTTAGACCCTCTACCTCATGCTTTTGCCCCTGAAGTAAGCTAAAATATGGGCTGGCAGAATCGCCTTCTTCCCACTGCTTCCCTGAGTCTCTCCCCATCTGTCAGCAGCACGTCAGCCCCTGAAGTTCGGGGCCTGAGGTGATGTCTCTGATTAATCTCCACTTGGGGGTGACTCTAGCAGGAGACAGTGGTCACAAATTAAAGGACATCTCAAGGTGTAACATCACAAAATCACCTTGGAAGCAAGTACTCTACCAAAAACAGGCATTTTCCACGAGGGATATATTTGACCAGATACATGATTTCACCTATGTAGGCAACTTCTGCTGTGGCAATTCCCTCCATTGATGCAGATAGGTAACTCAAGTAGAATTTATGGCCTTAAAGAGCTGCCTGGGGATACTAAAAGAGTATATGCCTCACCTAGGGTTACGCATCAGCAGTAAGATTTGAACTCTGGTCTTTCTGACTCAGTGGCTAGCTCTATATCTACTACGCCATGCTAAATTTTCCAGCCAAGAAGTGGGGGGTGGGTAGGGACTGTTCTGATTGGGCTGGATTGGGGGGAATTGGGAGTAGGTATAGGGAAGGGAGGAACTGATATATTACCAGGAAGCATGGTGACAGCAACTGCCTTTCATCACATTCTACTTCCTCAGTCACCCAGGGGTCACTTGGGCCCTCAAGCCACTTGATTAGAATCCTCCCCAGATTCCCCCTCGTGTCTTTTCCCAACTCCAACCCCAACACTAGAAGCTCCACCTTCCCGTCTTATTACCTTGAAGGAGAACTCCGCATTTTAAGTCTGCAAGGGCCAGGAGCAGAGTTGTCACATGAGGTTGTATCAGGGCTCTCCAGGTGCCCCTAAGTGAACCCAGAGGCCCACTGAACCTCCTCAGGAGGGTCAGGAAATGAGTGTCTTCAGAGGGACCAGTATCTGCATATGATCACTTTCTGTGGCCTGGATTCGCAGGGTAGACTTGGGCCTGGTTACCTGGTTACTAGTGAGTCTAGAGAGAGGGAGGGATGTGAGTCACTGTCATATGGGGAGATGAGGATTGGACCCCGTGCTGCTCTTTCTGTGACTGCTGCCTGCTGGCATCCAAATGTTAATGCTTTCTGCTTAGTCAGGGTTGGCCTCTTGCCTAGGGATGAGAGGGGCGGGGGAAGTGCATTCTGCTCCCAAGTTTATTTAGCAGAACACTAGATTTGTAGGCTTTAGAGCTGGAATCAGACAAGAAAGATTATTCTAGCCTGGAGTGACTTTACGGATCATTTAGTACAAATCCATGATTTTTCATGTAGAGAAACTGAGGCTGGAAGGGAAAGCAGCTTGCCCGGGGTCACCTCGTGGCAGAGCTGAGGCTAGACTCCAGGCCTCTTTCCTTTTTGTTTAGTGTTCTTCCTGCCACACTAGCCTTCTGAGCCTCAGGAACTTTCAGTTGTAGGTATAGCCATCCCTGTCTCTCATTCTTGCTTCTGTATGTGTGTGTGGCTATTTGTCAGACTATCTCACTTTATGTCTCTCTCTTGACTCTCTCTTCTGTCCCTGTCTCTGTCTCTGTCTCTGTCTCTCTCTTTCTCTTATTCTCTCCTGGAAAGCAGGCATGTATATTAGACAAACACACAAAATTAAAATGAAGACCAATGTGGGAGATTTTTATTAAGGAACAAGTATGCTGAACTTCCAGAGAACTTTTTAATTCTGATGAAATACTAGACACTCACAGACAAAAATAAATGAATAAATAAACAAATAAACAAATAAATAAAACAATGTACATATGGAGAAAAAAGAGAACTTTTCTGGGTCTCAGTTTTCTCATCTATAAAATGTTTGGTAGGAGAGGGCTTATAATCTCCCAGTTCTGGACCATAGGAGAAGATAATCCCTTCCCAGTATTCTAGAGGAGTCTGGGAATGCCTGGTCTCTGCAATAGTCCAGTGTAAAAGCTCCCAGGTGTAGACGATGAGTGAGAAGGTCACAGTCCAGAAACCCTGGCTTCTGAGAGTAGATCACTGTAGAAAGATAAAAGAGGGACCTACGGCCTGTTCTCCACTTTTTTACCCCTCTTCACTCCTCTGTAGGCATCAGTCAAACTCCCCACCCCACTTCTACACTATGTATTGTGACCACTCCAGCTCCCAAGGTTAGATTGTCTTGCCATAACAGAGTGAGGTAGGCAAGGCAAGATAAGGCAACAAGCATTTATGAAGCACTTACTATATGCCAAGCACTGTGCTAAGTTCTAGGGATGCAAATCCAAGAAAAAAAAAGTCAGTTCCTGCCCTTAAACAGCTTACCATCTAATGGACGAGTAACACACAGAATGGAGCCGAGAAGGAAAGGGGAAAGGTCCTGAATGGGGCAATGCACCAAGTCTGAAAGTCAGAAGCAGAGCCAAGAAGGGAATGAAGAAGGCAAGGGAGGAGAAGCTAAGAGAAGGAAGGTAAAAGAAGGGTCTCTTGATTCCTCATGAATTCCTTTCCCTTCCCCATAGTACTTTAGGTCAGTATGTGAGAAGGTGAGCTAAGAGGTGGGTGGGAGATAAAAGAGAATTGACATCACCTTCTCTCAGACCACCATTTCTGGCTACCTCAATCTAGATGCCAAATCTATGGGCTCTTTTATTTTATTCCTTTTAGGCCTCCTCAAGGAGGCCTACTGATTGCCTACTGGCATTGGGGATGTGTGCCCCTTCTCTTCTTTTTCTATGATAACTTTGTCCCCATGTCTTCTCTCTGTCTCTGTCTCTGTCTCTCCCTCTTTCTCTCTCTCTCTCTCCCTGTTTCTCATGTCTTTCTCTGTCTCTTTCTCGGTCTCCCCTCTCTGTCTGTCTCTGTCTCCCTTTCTGTTTCTCTCTCTGTATCCCTCTGACTCTGTCTCTGTTCTTACACACATAAACTCTCTCTCTCTCTCCCTCTCCTTCTCCCACAAGTGAGCTTTCCTTACTGACTAATGTTCCCTCCTCAAAGAGAAGCAAGTCTGCAAATCTCATTATTTCACAATGTTTTCCACTAAGAGGTGAGAAAAAGGAAGAAGGGAAAGCAAGCCAGCATAAAATTAAATAACCTGCCTTATGGTTTCCCTCCTCTTCCCTCTTCTCTGATCCCTCCCCTGCCCACCCCGCCCCCCTTACCGCAGCCTGAGCTCTGGAACTGCTACCTCTGAATATGAGTTCCAGGCCTGGTTTGGGTAGCATTAAGTTTTTTAGTAGTAAGGAACAATAGATAGTAGGAATGTAGCCACGGACTTTGCCTGTCTCGTCTCAGTGAATACCAGTGACCTTTCCCCACATGGTAGAAGGGATGGTAGAAAACATGGCAATTTTTAATTTTTAGCATGACCAGAGCCACCAGTGATCAGCCCCAGGTGAGGAAACATAGAGGACACAAAAAAATTAGCCATGTGCTCCTTTCGTTAGAAATGGAGGGAAGGAGAGATCACCAGTTCTTCCTTTCTTTAGAATTTTTTCTCCCCTGCCTAGTCTATGCTCTGTTGGAAGAGACACTACCTGGATAGTATAGGTGAACTTCAGATGATCATATGGAAAAGTATGCAGAAACTATGATAGTTATACATGTTATTAAGAGTGCTTTTCAGGGGCAGGTAGGTGGCACAGTGGATAGAGCACTGGCCCTGGATTCAAGAGGACCGGAGTTCAAATCTGGCCTCAGACACATAACGCTTACTAGCTGTGTGACCCTGGGCAAGTCACTTAACCCCATTGCTTAGCCCCCCCACCAAAAAAAAGAGTGCTTTTCCTCAGGGTAAGAACAAAAAATATCACTGTAACTCAGTGAAGGAGGTTAAGTAGACACAGGAGAAAAAGAATAAGGGAGGAAGAGAATAAGCATTTATATAGTACCTACTATATTCCAGGCATTCAGCACTTTTAAAATATTCTCTTCTGACCCTCACAACAGGTAGGTGCCTTTATTATCCTCATTTTAGAGTTAAGGAAACTGAGGTAAACAGGGTTAAGTGACTTACCCAGGGTCACACAGCTGGAAAGTATCTGAGGCTGGATTTGAAGTCAGGTTTTCCTGACTCTAAGTTGAGTTCTCTATCCACTGCACTACTTATCTGCCTTGTACAGAGAGAAAAACAGGGACTCAACAAGATTAAATGATTAATTTAGTGTACTTTACATTCCACTATCCCACATTATTACAGATCTCAGGGTACCTTAAATATTGTCCAACTTTTATAAACTGGCTTCAAAGAAAGGTAGTATTTTTGTGCTGGAAATATTGCTGGATTAGGTATCAGAGATACTGGAGTCTCACTTGAGTGCTTTCACTGCCTTAAGTCCTTTCTGGGTCTCAATTTTGTCATCTGTAAAATGGGAGGGTTAGGTTGGACTATGTAAACTGTAAGGTCCCTGTTAGCCATGTGACTCTATTAACAGGGGACTAATGGGTCTATCAAGTCAAGAAACGATTAATTCCTTAGTTATCTATAAATATTAATTTAATTGGTGATACTTTTAATTTGAGACCTTTGTCCAATGATCTTTCAGTTTAAATACTATTAGTGGAGGTGAAACACATCAATATTGAAATTTTTGAAGTTGTAGCTATTTAGAAAGAGAGCTTGCAGGTTATACTTCAAGAGACGCGTAAAAGCATTGGCTCAGTCAGCTTCACCAAACACACAATCTCAACAAGAAATACCACTTCTTGAGTTCTTTGGTCAGTGGGATTTGTTTGCTCCTGATGGATGTAAGCCAGCAGAATACCATGAAGATAATTGTAGCTTATGAATCAACACATATCACATTGGATGAGGAGGTAACGAAATTTTCTGAAGAACTTGATAATATCCCACAAAACAAGGCAACATAGAACTTGATACACAGTGACTTTTAGTTGGAAGGTGGTCACAGGAGATTCAGAAGATCTGGGTTTGAATCCTACCTATGTAATTAATTACCTATGTAATTAATAAGTACCTTTGGAAAATTATTCGACCTTTCTGGGATCGGAGGGTAAAAGCATCATAGAGTAGCACCTTTCTGGGGGGAGGAGTTTCCTAGGAATTGGAAAGATCTCTGGAGAGACCCAAGAGAGGAGAGATATGAGCAAGCATGTTAAGAAAAACATCAAAGCAGCACCACTGTGACGAGGCCGTGGCTCTCACAGCAGAAAGCAGGATGAACAGGCAAAGCAACCCCCTTTGCCCCTAAATGCCCCCAAATGGGAGAGGCAGTGGTTAGGAGGTAAAGGAGATGAAGATGCTGAGGCAATAAAGGAGAACCTGTATAACTGGGAGCTAAGAGGAAGACAGATAGAGCTAATATGCAGAGGTGTCCCTGTTGTACTGCTGAGAATAGAAATGGTGATCCCAGTTTTTCTTCCTGATTTTTCTTCCTTTCCTATTCACTCAAGGGAGAGATGAATCTATTTTAGTTTTCTAAGTCTTATTTTTAAGGACTTATTTTGTGTTTTTCATCATTTATTTCAGAAGAGACTGGTTTCTCTAAGACAACATGGTTGCTCATTAAAGTACTGATTTGTGTGTATACCTAGGGGATTAAATACAGGTTCCAGAACTATGGTTGGCAAGGTACAAAGGACAGAGATCAATAGATTCTGTTCTTTTTGGAAGCACTCACTCCCTGAATGAAACTGGGGGCTCAGAGCATCAAAGAAGATTTTATTGACATATATTTATAGCTTCCCCAAAGAACAGAGAACACAGTCCTCTGGACCAGCATACAGATCCAATGAACTTGAGGTGGTCCCGATGGGGGAAGAATTGAAAAGGAGCTGAAGCCCTTTCCTTAGACTTCCTCTCCCTTCCCCATACACATTCTTCTTCCCCATTGGCAAGTTTGAAAGGAAACATCCCCCCTGAGGAGTAGGTTAAAGGTGTTAACTAAATAGGAAGTAACATTAGAGTCAAAGTACTCAGAAGCAAATAGAACCACCAAAAAGAGGATAGGAACCAGACAGGAGAAAGTAACTAGTTCTTCTCCTAAATCAAATAGCATGTACCCCCATGCAGTATTAGAAAAGACCTAGAGGTAGCTGGTGACATAG